CTGCCACTCGAGAACCTTTTTTCTCCATCAGCTGTCGGTTCTTCGAGCTATATGGCTGGCCCATTGCCACTTCAGCTTAGTAATCCGTTGGGTTATGTCGGTTACACTGGTTCTACTGCGGATATCCTCATTTCTAATTTTATCACGCAGAGAAACCCTAAGCCTAGCCCTCCCCATAGCTCGCTGAGCGACCTTGAGCGTCTTAATTTGGCCAGCAGTGAAGGACCAAGTCTCAGATCCATAACTCATAACTGGCAACACGCTCTGGTTGTACAATCTCGTTTTCAGGTTTTGAGGTATTCCTGACGAGGAGATCTTTCATAATTTCCCGAACGCTGCCCAGCACAGTTGAATCCGTCGATTGACCTCTCGATCGAAGTTGGACTTACCTAGTCGGACTATTTTAGTCTCAGGTAAACTCACTCGTCAACAACTTCGAGCTTAGTGCTCCCAACAACTACCGGTATAGGTGTGACATGGACATTCTACATGATCTTTGTTTTGTTCATGTTCATCTTAAGACCTATCCGTTGGAGACACTATTGAGGTCATTGAGCATAGTGCTTAGGTCCTCCGGCGATTCTGCCATAAGGACTATATCGTCGGCAAGTCGAAGGTGAGTGATGTTTTCGCCATTGAAGTTAATATTGTATCCTTTCCAGTCCAGAAGCTTGAAAATGTCTTCCAATGGGTGAAGAGTTTCGGGGATATAACGTCACCCTGTCTTACACCTCTCTGCAGTTGGATAGGTTTCGTACTCTGTTTTTGTACTCGGATAGCCATCGTAGCCCTACTGTACAAAAACAAAACACTTCAGCACTTCGATATACCGATAGTCAACTTGGCACCACTGAAGGGACTGCAGCAATGCCCAAATTTTGACGGAATCAAAGGCCTTATCATAGTCTACATACGCTAGATATAGTGGCAAATTGTATTACACTGACTTTTGTACAATTTGCTGAAGGGTATGTATGGGGTCAAAAGCTCCGTTTTTGATATAAGATCGCAAGTAATGGAAGAACCGTGACGAAGCACGGTAGCACTCCGGTGACACCGCCACCGAGCGAGATCTGATTTTTCTTTGTCGGGTTTTTGCTAAAATAATACTAGATCTTGTAGAACGAGAGAGCTTATTTTAATTCATAAACAAAAAAACACACATGATTGACACCGAACATTCAAAAAGGCAAAGACAAAAAAGGAGGAGCGTTGTTTTTTTCTTTTTAATTCCATTAAGTCACATTATCGTACTCAGTTAACAAAAATATCTAACCATAGAACATTTTGTGTTTACAAAAACGCATGTTATAACATTCTCGTTCCTGTTTAGCAATCTCTTTCTTGACTATAAGAAACTCACCGAATGAGGCTACGGCCCTCTACGCCGTATTCGTTTTCAGCATTGCCGACACGACGGCTGGCAGAGAAATGTTTCGCTAATACGGATGCCGCTCTGGGGACACCGCAAGCGTTTGCGTTGCAGTGTCCTGATTTCTTCTACTACGACAGATCTTACGTAAATAATCACCGACAATCCATGTCTCGTGTTTCTTTCACTCAAGGCTTGCTCCAATGACGCGTTTATGCGCGTCTTTAAAGCGAATAGGTCGATATCTGTACTATGACTTAAAAAGAGTGTTGATGATGGTGACACCAATAAAGAATATTGCTTCTGAGTGAAAAAAAAGACCTGTCATTTTAACTTTATTAGGATAGCCTGTTTTACTTTTTTATTCTATAGATAAGCTTTCTTCCAGAGATATATTTATTTAAAACGTCGAGCAACTTTGATAGCTCAGTCGTCCAGATGTTTATATTTCTGTGTACAATGTGATGTCATGTACCGTGCAGTTTAAGAACGGGATTGAAATTGGCGTCACCTCTATTCACCTTTCGCTCGTACACTGTCGCAATCGTACTCACACCCGCCGGTAAAGACTACAAAAAAAAATCACTTTGCAATATACGTTTTTCGTACACTCTGATTGTCAAGGGTTAATGGTCTTTGATGGTTTTATCTTAAGTCTAAATAACGATATATAAATAGATCCCACCTAGGCGAAGCCAGAGCGTGGTTACAAGTTATAAGTAGTACTTATTTGCATATACAATTATTGTCGAATATTTTTCCATTAATATAAAATTAGCAATTCACCAAATAATATAACGATATACATTTGTTAGTTGGTTTTTGCTATTGGTACTGTGCAAGGTGACGATACGGGCTCGATGAGCTGTCATTTCTAATCCTATTATTTATATGTACAAACTGTTTGAAAGTTAACCTAGACATCCCGCTTACTGATCAAGTACACTTTCACAGTTCTGAATTCAATAATAAAATCTCAATTCAGATTTATTTTTTGCGAATAAAAGAACATTCCACATTCTAACTGAACGTGTCGATTCAAATTTACCTGTAGTTCTAATGCTTTTATTTAAATAGGGCATTCTAATGCAGACCAGATAAATTCAAACATTCAGTAGTTCGAGTAAACTGTATCGTATTTTACTTTAAAATATCTACAATTTATTCTTAGCGCCATTGCAAAATATAAATTTACTAGGGTTTCGCTCGTCTGAAGCGTTAGAATTTTGCTGGTATCTATAACAGTAATCTATGGAATTTTGCATGAAATTGCATTTTTTAGTTCACTTGTAAGTATAGAAATGTATGTATAATGACAGGAATATAGTGCACGAGTGTACCCGCAAACGCAAATGCGTAAATGCACAATTCTATTCCTACATTTTCATAGTCCGATGGGACGCCAAGCAGGCACACCCGGAGAGAGATCAGGGGCAGTACCAACGACTTTACGTGCTTTCCGAGGCACGGGGGTGAAACACTGCTAGCTTCCTGACTTAGATCTGCTACTGAGCATTTCTTGACAGAAAAAACACAATAGTTGATTTTTGTTGGCCCATCTTCGAATCCGAACCCGGGACCTCATGCAACTACGTTTATGACCACCAGATCATCGAGGCAGACGCCAAATATACACAAAATATAAGTAGTGGGTGTGAGATAACCCACGCGATATTATATGTGGCCTTCATGCTCTACTCTTACCTAAGGTTTTATCAAAATTACTGAATAGAATAATAATGACAATGAGGTGGAAAAATTATTAGAATTCAAACCTTTTTTATACAAATTTTATACACGTGATAAAATTTTATCTTTTTTGTCTTTTTATAGGTTGAAGAAAATCTCCAAATCTCTCAAAAAAAAGGTAACGGTTTTGACGAAAACCATATTTTGCATGTTTATATTATGTATGAAAATACTATCTAAAACTCGGAATTTGCGTAGTCAATTTACATAAATGATTTATGGAGTCTGCGTTCTTCGTTCGTTCAATACGCACTTACGCCGTCTTCAAATTTTGTTATTCAAAATTCTGATGAAATCATAAACCTAGAGTGCTCTTGTATTTAATTATTTATTTATTTATCTACTCTTATATTGAATCTGTAGTTTAAAGCAAATCTTTGTTATATAAAAAACTAAATTTTTTTTTAAATAAATGCCGTCATGAGATCATACTCGTACATACTTTCATTATAATTATTCTGATATATTTAGAATTTTTTTAGAAAAATCTCTTATTGTATGTATATAAGTATGTACACGTACATATAATGTGGATTTTCAATTTACGAGAAGCTAACTATATAATGTATGAACTAGATGTAAAACACACCCTGTCTGATACCTGATCGAGGTTTTATGTATCGTGATTTGATGATTCTGTTCGTGTAATAATTTTTAGAGAATAAATAAATAACAACTTCGCAAAAATTAATTTAAATTTAATCAACTAGCAAACTAACAAGGCAATACATCCGTAGAGATTGGATGTCGGGCATATCAATTTAACAATGATTAAAAATCACAAACTGCCATAATTGCAGTAACTTCGAATACCCTCATCGACGACGGTATTGCCAGATAAAAATGTTGCAAATAGTGGTAAAAACATGTTTTCTAAATAATAATAATATTTTTATTATCATTAATAATATGATTTTTTATAACTTAATTGCAGTAGCTGTGTGCCCTTTATGAATTGGACAGGGTATTTTTTACAAATTGTATATCCATCTATGGGCTACAGCAGCTGCTTGCCATGAAGTAGACTGTAGGTTTGTTTGTCACTCCCATTTAATAAAAATAATATCACTTCGATTGTAAGTAATAGGCTGCCGCTCGGTAACAAAATAGTGGATGGTTCCCATCGGTTATATGATCACTTAACCTGGAAATATATGATCGCTAGATTTGACTATTATTTGACTTAAATTGTAAACGGTATGACATTGGTCCCTTGGGAGAGGGGTAAAACCCTAGTGTAGGATGCTACTTGCGTAGACACTTTGGCGGCCTCTCATCTCAGGGGTTCATCGTTTAGAGCCGGGCTGAACAGAGTAATTGGCGCAAATATGAGAATCTGAGAGATGACAACATATTTGTGCCGGCTGTACTGACTGTCGGACCCCACGGTCCACGTGCGGTGAAGTTCCTAATGGAACTCTACTCACGACTGGTCGTTGCTGCTGACGAAAACAGGGTTGTTCTTTTCTCAGTCAAAGGCTAATTATAGTCATTCTGGGAGGAAACGCAGCTAGCGTTCTTGGCACAATACCACGGGGAGTAGCACTGTATGATAAGATAATTAAGTTATTAGTTTTAGTTTTTTTTTATTATAGTTTTTTAATATTGTATATATTTACTTAAATTGATAATTTCGAAGATAAAAGTGATCAATAGTAAGCCATTAACTGTTTGTTGATGTTATTGATCATAATAACCATATATTACATCTTATAAAATTAAAACGCGTTGAGTTAGAGACCACAACATATTTATGTTTTACTGACACGTTTGGGCAAATCAATTTAAGAAGTAATTACCATATAAATAATTAAAATGGTTGCTAAATTATAAATGCAATGAATTTTAAAAATCTTAAGTATACTATAATATAGCAAAGTTAACGATAAAGGTGGTTATCCCGAAGAGAACTAGCAAGCTCGGGTTCCCAACGATCACCATTCCCGAGCAATTTTTCCTTGTTATAAATCAATTCCTCGTGCGTTTCTGTTGAATATTCAAAGTTTGGGCCTTCGACAATAGCATCCACTGGGCACGCTTCTTGACAGTAACCACAAAATATGCACTTCGTAAGATCAATATCGTAGCGGGTTGCTCTGCGAGAACCATCGCACCGTTCCTCCGCATCAATAGTAATAGCTTGAGCAGGGCATACTGCCTCGCATAATTTGCAAGCTATGCATCTCTCTTCTCCGGACGGATACCTCCTCAATGCATGCTCACCTCTATATCTTGGCGATATAGGTCCCTTCTCAAATGGGTAATTTATAGTAGCTGGTTCTTTAAATATGTGTGCTAACGTCACGGCAAAACCTGAAAGAAATTCATGATTTATTACCAAAATAGTTGTGTATTTAGAATAGGTACACATTTTGAGTACTTGACTTATAAGGGCTTTTGTTTTAAAAAGATATCCCTGTCATACCGTAAGCCAATTTTATATTCTTAATTATTACTAAACTACGGAAATTGCTGTGTTTCTCCACCTCTACAAGTATACCCTTCAATACAATAGTGATAGTAGCTTTAGTTTAGTCCCGCCACAGCCTTCTAACCTAACTCATCTGAAAGGATTATTGGGTCGTAAAAAAATAACCACGAGGGCTGTGAAGGGAGCGAAGCGCAGCGCAGCTTTCGCTACAGCCTTCTAACTAAATCCAACTGAAAGGATTTCTGGACAGTAAAAAAAATATAACCACGAAGGCTGTCGTGGGAGTTGCTACCGCCACAGCCTTGTAAGCTAACTAAACTGAAGGTATTTCTGGGTGTAAAGTATATAATAATCATATCTTTAATGTTTGTAAACATAATTTATTAAGAGAGTATAGACCACAAAATAATAAAAAAACCAGCACCGGAATTATAATAATGTGACACTAGTCTTTGACATGGTCTTACGTCCTTGTCGCAATTACTATACTATACTATTGTAATAGTGCATTCGTTTTTCCATGTTTTATATATTTATAGGTTATAATACAAGTGGTATTGTTATAATCGAGGACCAAATCTCTACCTAACACTACACATTACCCCCAAAAAGTCTACCAAACGATTGCAAATACAACCCTATTTAAATATTACCAGCGTACATTTATATTGAATTACAAAATGAACTATATTTTTACCTCGTATGAGCTCTGTCCAAAACACTGTTTGAGCTACGCGGTCCACAAAATCCTTGGTTCGAGTTGATGGTGGTTGATCATTAATGTATACAAAATTCACTTCATACTTCGTTCTTGGTCGGCAATAAAAAGGAGGTTTTATTGGCGGGCACGGTGAAAATGATGCACATGACGAGTATCCGTCATCACCCGAAATCTGATTTTGGCTGGAGCCACGGATAAGTTTAAGTCCTGTTGGCCTTATTTGATTAACGTACTTAATCGTGCCATATATTCTTGTTCCAAACATTTTTAATAACACTCAAATATCAAACATCTTTTAAGTGATTGACATACCTGAAGTGACAAATTAATTTATTTTTAAATTTAGACAGCAAAAAGTACCTATAATCACTAGTTACGCAAGCGAAATGTAATATCCAAAGAGAATGAGACCACTACGTTTAGTAATATCTATCAATCTTTATATATAAAAATTACGTGTCACATTGTTTGTCTGCGATGGAGTCCCACACTACTGAACTGATTTCAATGAAATTTTACACACTGTGTTTGCATTTTGGTCCAACTTGAGAGATAGGATAGATTTTATCCCGATAAAAGACCCTCAGTATATTTTATTTCGAATTTTAGTATTTTTATAGTACAGAGGTTCGCCGCTAAGGGCAGAACAACGTCTGCCTGGCCAGCTAGTATATACATATATAGCAATCAACTGTCCGTTCGTTTTAGCGGGAAGTAGGACTGTTTGATAATTTTAATTTTAATTTTTTTTTATTACAAATATTTAATATTTTTAGAGTTAATTGAAAAAAAGAATGTTTCTCTGTTTGTCCTGTATGAGTACCTATACTATCAATCGGATTATGAACAAAGTAAGTTATTGTGTGCTAGTTGTTTATTATGCGTTTATGATGTTACTTTGGTGAGTGCGCGCGTCTGGTACGGTTTCTGACAAAAAATGCATTGGATTGCGTGCCGGACACAGCTACTTGTAAATTAATAACAATAAGAGTTTTTTTTTAAAGAAAATCAAAGAGATACCTAACTTTAAACATCGTTATAGTGACAGTAATATTTCTTGTCACGTTTACATGAGAATCTTCCAGAAAATGAATATTAAGAATGTATTTATGCTTACACTGAAAACATTATGCTTACATAAGCATAATAATATCTTCATTGCTCTTCTACGGCTAGATATATACCCAGCCTTAATAAATAAGTCTTCTCTCCCTCGGACCTATACTTGATCGTGATTGCTGTCAAAATTTTCCATTCATATAAAGGAATATTACATTAAACAAGATCGTCAAAAAATGTTCACTCTTATTGGATATAACAAGCGGAAGCGAAGACTAGACCGTGTAAATAAATTGCTTCAGAAATGCGACAGTGAATACTGAATTCTAATCTAACGACTTACGACATATATTTAAGAGTACGTTAACGAGTTTAAGGATCTCCGTAAAGATACCCAAAGATATGGACCTGAAAACGTATTTATAACATTAACTGTATTTTTTGAGGAAGTTCCTCAAAAACACAGCTATTAATTTTAACACAGTATATCTTTTTCATCGATTTTAATCTCATTAGCTATTTCACCTACATGCTTTTAAAATAATTTATCAATTTCTATTATCGACTTTCTCAAATATTACATTCAATGTGACCCGCATGCTCGTTTGATCGCTCTACTAGTATTAGTTTCTAATTATGTTACCGTGTAGTTGCGGTGTAGGAAAAAAATCAGAAAATAGGCAGCAGCGACTTCGTAATAACGACTTAAAATAAGAATAAAAACTGCGGTTGCCAATCCGCTTGTCAAGCGTGGCAACTATGGCAACTATGGCAAATGTATGGGGTAGGTCATTGTTTTGCAGTGGACTTTAATAGACTGTAACAGCAATAGAGTCTATTAGACATGAAATCAGTATGAGTATAACTCCATTTTTCCTTTGAAAGGTTTCCATAGAAAGGTCAGAAGGCAGAAGGTCTATGTTTTTCTAAAATTAGGATGATTTTCCCAAATCATAAAACGCCACCCTGTGCCTGAGGCGACACTATAGTTGCGCCAGTAACGTGAAGCATTCAGTTGGTTAAAAAATAAATCACGATATAAAAGGCTCTGAAACATCCTCGATATACAGGGTTATTTTGCAACAACAGGCCAAATTTGCAGAGAAGTTTCAGAATAAGTAATATAATACAATGGTGAAGAAAACTTAATTAAAAAAATCTCAAATATTCTGTTCTTTTCATCTTTTAAATTCAAAATGTGTGGTAATGCATTATTTCAACCGATTTTCATTCATAAATATCTAACGCTTACTATCTTACAACGCACGCACACATTCGTAAGGTCGATCAATCGGCAAAAACATTGTGAATTGAATCGCACACAGAGGAGCGCGCGTACGCGTAGTTGTTGGCTATCTATAATATAAAAATGAATCGCACAAATCTCGAGAGCAGCTGAACCGATTTCGCTAATTCTTTTTTTTTTGTAATATTCCTTGAAGTACGAAGATAGTTCTTACGGAGAGGTAAATTAATAAAATTGCCTGAAAAAGTCTAAAATAAACACTTTTCTATATTCCAAAAGATTCGTAATAATACTTAAAAGTCAATTTGAACTTTAATACCATACTATAAAGTTTAAGTCTTAGTGGAGGGGTCCGGGAAGGCAAAACAATTGAGTGACGTTAGTATCGTAAAAATATGAATGTCAATATTTGTCAATATTTATATACACTGGCAGATAGCTGATGTTATAACGAGTAACTTGGGCTTCTTTTATTTTAGGGTTCCGCGAAAAATAACTCCACGCGGTCGAAGTTGCGGGGAACAGCTAGTTTAAGATAATTTCAAATAAAAGTAGATGCCTTATTTACTCGTATTTTCAACAACTGAGATAACGGTATATATTTAAAATTTGGGTACTCTTTGAAAAATAACCCTGTATAGAACATGTTCTGTACAACACCAAGTGGTTGTACACCGCAATTAGCGTTGGCCGATCCCCGGGCTGAACTTTTTGCACGTAGGAGATATCCCATTTTTCTTCTAATAAGTATATATCGCCCACCAGCACCTTTTTAAACGTAAGGCAGCATCACCGAAAGTGCGGCTTTTAGCCGCAGGTCGTGTCATGAGTCTACTGCTCACCTCAAGGGAATGGGGCCCCATAGAGCGGGTTGTGGTCGTATCATTGAACGTCTCCTCCCTCCAGATACCACATTGACGATGTTAAAACATGACACTGGGGAATAAATTATTCGTGGCAATTATTTCGTGTCAGCGGGGAGTAAGCAAAAAAAAAAAACATCATTTACAATACATGGAATACGCCAGCAAAATATTGTAAATATACAATACACGATCTTTTCATGATATAACAGCGGCTTAGTATTTGTAATGTGTAACGTTAAAGTATTTATTATAGTAGCAAGAGTGACAAAGAGCATGCAGTCCACCTGATGATAAGTGGTTGGTCTCGAATATAGACCCATCTATATTCAACTTTGAATGATGACAATGACAGATGACAAGTATCTCACACGCTACGTTACCAGTCAAAAGAGGCTCCGGTTCTTGTATTTTTTTATAGAATAACAGTGCCAAATTAATAAACAGTCCACCTGTTGTTAAGTGGCTACTGTGACCAATAGACATCTATCCTATATCTATCTATCCATCTATCCAACGTATCAAAATGAAGATGTGATGTCACCCCTGAGGACTAAGACGGAATGCCTCGATTCCAGTAAAATCTTTCTCTGATTCTCTACACTCACCATACGAAACACTCACACAAGCATTAAGCTGCTATTTTACGCTAGTATTGTGTGATAGCGTGGTCCTCCCCTGGTCCAGTTGACCCACTCGTGGTGCAGCCATAATATAGCTGCAGCGTGGCTCTACGACGTATAAAAATTTCAATCACCTTCAATTGGTGCATTATAGTCTTATTTCATGCTGGTATTATGTGTTAGCGTGGTACTCACTCTGCGTCCCTGGTTAAGCCGATCCTTTCGTGCTGGCATCATAATTCTCTGCTATGTGATTGTACCACGTAGATATAATTGTAATTAAACTATCGGTACAACGGATTTGTATAAGTGCTTTACGGTCATCTCGTGTAGTAACTTATTCAAGAAGATACCAAAATACGTACTTGTAGATATTTTCGTTATATCTATTTTGAAATTATACCGCAACCTCATTTTTCATTTAAAAGCGGCATCGAAACCTAAATGATAAAAATAAATTCAATGCTAATTCTCCAACTGTCAGAAAAGATACAAACTTTTATATAACAACGTTCCTTAAAATGGTTGGATCGTTATTGTGACCTTTTAGAAACGAGAATAGTATACGACAACAATAGACCCGTGCTTGAAAAGAGCATTACATCTTTCTAATATTATAAATGCAAAAGTACGTTTCTGTGGAAGCTTATACTTCAATTACATACGAACGGCTGAAAGAAACAAAAAAGAATTTACTTAGAAGTCAACAAGGCATGGAATAGTTACTAGCAAGGCGTGGAATAAGATATAAGACTTGAAAACATATAATCTATATTTTATATTATACTAATTCCTTTAATATAGAGTTAAGATAAACTTAAACTAGCCATGTTAATATCATTACTAATATTCCCTTTAACTACTCCTTACTTATGTTAGGAGTCGTTCACGACAATATTCGAATGGCAGATTCGAACCCACAACTTTTTAAAGTTTGCGGACCGCACCCTGCCATTAGGCTACTGCCGCTTCGCTACGCCAATTTTCAAATCAATAATTAATTTTTAAATTTCTATCACGTTAACGTTCGGAGCCTCTTTGCGGGGCTAGAGGTGTCTTTTAATTGGAAATTGATTAATGATATTTTAATTTTCCATTTATTATATCCTGATTGTACTCATCTTAATAACCTTCACCGGGTTTTGTACTTTTCGAAAATGACCATCTTCTTTCGTTATTATCATTCAAAACTATTTTATTATGTTGTCCTCTTTTAGTATCCACTTTAGAATAATTATTGAAAAAAATTGTCATCGAGTGTTGTACCGCTTTCGAAAAATTCTTACAATCATTGAGTTAATCTTTAAAGCGACTTTATCCCTGGTTACGTTGGCTCAAGTCACTCTTTGATTTGATTGTTTAGTCTGAAAATGTCTTGTTTTTAGCTTGTATTCAGGCAGTGCTGTAATACGGTACAAAATTTTCCAGCGTATTAGTGTTTTAAAAGAAAAGTTGTTCGTGCTAAAGAGGACTG